GAAACTAGGTCTGTGGTGTAGCGGTTAGGGGCGCTGTCTTGTTGTCTTTGCAAGCAGACAAACCGCGTTCGATTCGTGTGAGGAAAATAATTTATTTTTTTCTCGAGTATCAGGGGCTTTCTGTTGGGATTTTGCACCCCTAACAGCGAGGGTTGGCACTGACAGGCATGATCTCAATTGTGCCTATGGGTTTGGAGTAAATTTAAAAAAAAACCCCAAAAACCAAAACACCTAGATTACATCTGATTTTTTTTAAACATAGGGAGATTATAGTTAGAAAGCTGTATCTCCGGATTAACTATTGTTTCCGCCAGGACAGTGTGAAGTAGGCGGAGAGGGGTGGCGTCGGTAGCCTAGTGGTTAGGCTATCGGACTCGTAATCGTGAGATTGCGGGTTCGGGGGTTCGAGCCTCAGCTCGGTCCGACGTTGTGTCCTTGGGAAAGGCACTTTACATGAATTTCCCTATTGGCTCGGTCCTTTCTGAGACGGACGTTAAACTAGGAGGCCCCGCCTCTTAAATAACCTAATAGTGTTGATAGGGGCGATAAACCCATTCCATTTCACCATCTTTTGTATGCGCAGAGGTGTTAAAACTTCCTCTGAAAATTGGTCGCTTTTTAAGGACAAGCGGGCTAACGCAGATTTCGGGGGTTTCCAAAAATCTTGACCTTCACCAAAAGTAGGCATAGCCCTACCTATAGACTATAGGAGAAGTTTGGTTTCATCGCTGTGTATATTTGTTGGGCTATAGCAAATATTCATCGTCTTCTAAAGAAACTGAGCACGGGTCCAAAACGTTTACCTTCAATTTTCTCAAAAAAACATTTTTCGGGATAGCCCCGTTGTACTTAAAGGCGACCAATTGAGAGTTCGTCTCATGGTAGTCGACACCACTGTACAGTCTTGTACTAACTAAGATCGTACATAACAAGATAGTTCACTCAGCCATAAAAGTGTCCCTGGAAGTCCGCGCATTGAATCAGATGGCGCTGAAGTCTTTGTTTTGAAGCCCTGGCTAAAACAGCAACTGGACATGGATGGCTGGTGCCTCTATAGATAAATTATTAAAGGTCAGGTTTTGAAGCTCTCTTTCGTTTCTCCAGAAGAAGAATAGGAATAGCACAGTTGGTTAGTTTCACTTTTATTGTTTTTCCCACAAGTAGGGTAACTCTGTTCGTAAAGTCCGCTCTTTTTCGAAGAGACGCCACCGAATTTTGAGGGCACTTTTTTAATTGGCTCAAAGAGATGAGTGAACTATCTTGTATCTTGTTATACACGATCTTTGGTACTAACTAAGCTAACTGTTGCGCCTTGAGCCACAACTTATACATTACGTGTTTTTGCCCAAGATGAACGTGAAAGCAATTTGTGCAACATTTCCTCCGACATATTTACAGAACTGAAAACGGGCATCTGTGGTGGAATGCTTTGGTTTTTCGCTGCTAGACGCCGCAAAATGTATAGGTTTGATTCCCAGGGAGAGAAGTTTATTCTATCCAATATTATTCGTATCTATGTCTTTATGTTGGAGTTCTGACTGCCACTTAATCTGCGTTGGCCCCCGACGATCAGGATCAAAGTTTTAGTTTGATTTAGGAGGGAATTTTTTTTGTAAGAGTACTACGCACTTGCAACACTTTTACATGATGCTCGTTCAAGCCCAACTGAGATGGGTCGGCCATGTCATCCGCATGGAAGACCACCGAATGCCCAAACAATTGCTGTACGGTGAACTCGCAAGCGGCAAACGAAATCTCGGGAGGCCAAAAAAGCGGTTCAAAGACACGATAAAGGAAAACCTCCAGTTTGCACAGGTAACCCCCAAAGAACTCGAAAGAACTGCCACCGAAAGGAACGCCTGGCG